GAGTTAGGGATTCAAGAAAGTGGTTGTTTTGGGCTCAGATATACTAAGTTTTGCCCTATGCAGCCAGTACCCTGGAATTCTTTGCATTTCAGGGATTGTTGTAGATTGTTTTGTCTGGTTGACCAGCATATATATCCCCTTCCTTGGCAATAGTCTCTCCATTTTCCTTTTTAGGGACAACCCTACCTCACTGTAGCTTGATCATCATTTTATCTTTCCAGGGACTCTGAATTTTGGGGGCAGTGATATAAGAGTGGAAAACAATCAGAGAAGAAAATGTATTGAGTATCTGCTGCCTGCCTGGCTCCCACAGGAAAGCCCAGTGGTCCAGTTTTTCCTTCTATTCCCTGAGCTCTTCCACATCCTCCCAAAGGATTCTGTTTCCCTTTTGAGTTGGGCAGAACATGTTTCTGTCAGCCTGGAACAAATGCAAATAGATGCACATTTTGAGCAGCAGGTGGGATGGGATATGGTCTGGATCTGCAGCCCAGGAGAGCAAATAGAAAAGGAAAAGAGAAAAGGGAAAGGGGTAAACATTCAAAGCAGAGATCCCCTTTTAGGCCTCCAATGGTGGCCTTTGGGGAAAAAGACTGTATGCTGGGCATTTTCTTGTCTCTTCTCCTTTTTCTCTGAGGTATCCCTAGGAAGTATGATCTTACCAACAATCCTGGATGGAGGTGATCAATTCCCCATGGAATTTGGGGAGAGCTGACTTAGGGTCTGCTCTTTGGGCTTCCAGTTGAGTATTCTATGTGTTTTGGTATTCACTCTCTGGTCCCTCCATCAGTGGCATCAGCACTAGTGCTGCTTAGAAATGCAGACTCTTAGGCCCACCCTGGATCTACGGATTTAAAATCTGCATCTTGTCAGCTGATTCTGTGCACAACAGACTTTCAGTAACATTGCTGTATACCTGGCTTGCTAAGGTTTTGTGCTTCTGAAAGAAGCAGGGATTCAATGAAGGTTCACTTCCTGAGGCTGTAGAAGACTCTTCAGTGCTTCATTCTAAAGCACTTTTGGGGCTGATCCCTACAGATTGTGAAATTCAAGCTCTTTATGTCTTTTCTGACACCTGCATGTCTGACCTGAGAACTTCATAGCTAATTAATTATAGAGATTCTTGTCTGTTGCTAATGGAAAAAAAATAAGTATGATCCTAATCAGTGATTTATTAATCCATCCTTGGTTCCTTTTCACCACCATCATACAAAGCTTTTATTTTTTACAACACACTAAATTCAGAGATGGGTTTATTGTTGGGTTTCCCAAGATGCAATGGCTGTTTGTATGTCCTGATGCAATCCTTATCTCTCTCCTCTGTGAATGGTATGCTTCTTGCTCTAGGAGTCTTCAGTCTGGTTAGAGAGCTAAGATCATCTCCAACTTCCACATTTCATAGCAGAGGGAAACAAATCTTAGGGAGAGATAGGTATTTTCTCAACTCAGGATCTATCCCAGGCAATAAGCTTAGGGGACACTGAGAGGGACCAGGTCACAATGGGAGCCTAGAGCTACTCTCAGCACAGTAAGCAGGCCCCTCTAGAGCAGTCTGTCCCTAGGCGTAGGAGTCAGTCTCACACGGTGTGCATCCTGAGGCAAAGGTCTGAGAAACAGTGCATGAGTCAAGGTAGGACAGAAACAATGATGTGGATAGAGCCAGTGCTAAAGGAGAGGGCTTCTAACTTGCTCAGGGGCTATCATTTCCAGCATTGAAGGCACTCAAAAGTGTCCTGTGATGTAGACACTATGACTGACATTTTACAGATGAGGCTAAAGGAGACTAGAAATTCCCCTAAGATCACAGAGGTTGGTAGTGGGCATTCACGTACAGGACAGGCTCAGTCACTGCCCAGTGGTTTTACCCTATATCAGACCAGCTGCTCAAGATATCTCACTCCCTAGTGCCCAAGGTCAGACACCATTGCAGTGGTGGTAGCTGGTTGTAGAAAGAGATGAAATGCCCCCACTTTGAAGAGGAGATGTGTGCAAAGGCAGGACTGATAGGTTGTGGTCAAGGTCACAAAGTCAAAGGAGTGGCTTAGATGGAATCCAGACACTGGGTTTCAGTGTTGGACACTGCCTCTTGCTCCAGGGTTGGTGCAGAGAGCACTCCTCTGAACCACTCCAGGGCCCTGGGTGGAGACCATAGAAATGGCTGTGGGCTCCACTAGAAGAGAGCTCTCCTGGCCAGGACTGATGAAAGGTTGGAGAGGGAGAGAGGCGGGGCAGGGCCAGATGTGAGGAGAAGCAGGCTCTGTCAGAGCAGAATAGCAGGTTTGCCACTCATCAACTTGGCAAGGCAGACCAACTTGGCAACTAACACCCAGTGCTCCTTAGAGGTCAGGAATTAAGGTCCTGTTCTTTTCTATTCCTTCCCTTAAAGAGGGCCTGGCTGTGAGCGCTCAGATTGCAGAGTGAGAGAGATTGAGACAGGATTTTCAGACTGCTGCTGTTCTTTGGTCTCAAAGGACAGAAACTTTGGGTGACCCCGACAGCTAAGCCCTAGGCCATGTCTGACTTGTACCAAGTATCCTCAGAGCACACAGAATCTCTTTACAGCTGCCATTTCTGTCTTTACCTCCCTAACTCAGCCTTGAGCATTTCTGCAGAGCTTCCTTTTTGCTGGGTGCACAGACATGCTGGTCCCATCCAAGGTCATCTGGAGGAGGCCTGGGGTGAGGGTGCAGGTCGACTGTGCCCCCCATAGTTCTTCCACCTATATGGGTCCTCTGGGCTTCGCTTCCATAGGACCCAGTGACTAGTAGAGAAGCAGCTCTATATCCAAGTCAGCTCACAGGAAGGTCAAGGTGACCTAGAAGGGCTTGTGGCCACAACACTTAATTTTTTTTCTTCTTTTTTTTGAAGTGATGACTTCAGGACATGGCGTCCCAGAGAAATTGAGAGAGGAACAAAGTCAGCCTTGACTGGGAAGATGGGGAAAAGGTCTTCAAGTCTCTTTAAGGCACATCACCATGGCCAGAAGGCCCTCAGGTGCTAGGCCTACAGAAACCATAAAGAGGGACAGAGAGAATGTTCCCAGAGGGCAGGGACTAAGTCAACACCAGCACTGGAAAATTTCCAGCGTGTGTCTGGAAAATGTTCATACTGCAAAGCAGAGTTTCCGGGCGGCTGCCGTGCCATTTCTTCTCTACTGTCCAGGAGGGCGAGGCTGAGGTCACCTGGTGAGTGAGGTTCTGTCTGCCCTGACTGGCCTCGGGCTGCATGCCATATGCCTGTCCTCACGATTAATTAGAATATTTCAGTGTTTAGACAATTGTGGAAATAAAAATTGTATTGGAACGTTGGTTTTGGGCTAACGCTGTCATGCATATTATATGTAAAGATGCTTTTCAAGTTGTGGGTTTAGGAGCTCTGAACAGCTTGGTTTTGAGTCCCTTTTCTCACTCCTGAAGGGACTTCGGTCTGAGACAATGGAGGGGAGAAGACAAACAGGACTTCTAAGAAGTCTGGAGAAAGAAGAAACTTCGCCTACTAAGTTGTGTCATCTGTCACCATTGTGTTTTCAGAGCTATTCTCTGCCCCTTGAAGCCCAAGAGCCTGGCCTTTGGGTTCATATTTCCTGGGATCCTTTGCCTGATGCCAGCAGGCAAACACTAGAGAAATGCTAGGTGTTTATCCTGCTTCTGACACTCTTGACAATAGTTGTGGTCTTCTTTAATGTTGTTCTTCTGGAGTGGCCCATTCACAGCAGCACTCCCTAAACACATTATGGCTTTCCTGGGGTTCCTACAGTGTTGTGTGTTTTTGTCCCTTCTGGTCCCTCTGATACATTCTCTTCCTGACAGAGTTCCTAACCAGGCTGACCTCCCAGATAGTAAATGTCATATTCAACACAGCTGCTGTGCTGTCCCTTTGCTCTACAGGGAGGTCATATTTGTGCATATGGGCAATCTGAAGGATGGTAAGGGAAAGGGGCAATAGGACATTGGAGGGCTCATGGTATGTGGCAGAGCAAGCTGTGCAGAGGAAGCACGTGTAGGTGTACAGGTGCACACGTTTATGTGTGTTACCACCTCAGAATCCATGAGGGTGACTGTTTTTTGAGTTTTAATATGGGTCTCAATTCCACAACAGGAAACAATGTTAGCTGCTGAGGGGTGGTGTTGAATCCCTGGTGGTGAAGCAGAGCAGAACCAGCTCTATAGCAAGGACAGTTCTCTGCACAGTGCTCTATAAGGTCCACCCACATCCAGTTACAGCTGACTAGGATTCAGCTGACTGTTCGTTTATTAGCATTTTGACTTGAGTCTCCTATCTCTGCCTCGAATTTTGTTCATCTCAAACTAAAACCCTCACCACTTCCACTGCTAACAAGATGACTGCAACACCACCATCCTAACATCCTCATCTAGCCTATAGTACTAGTACTGCCCATGTGATCAGTGAATGAGCAGCTAAACAGGGTTCTCTTGTGACGTCACTAGTTATGGCAGTGGGCTTAGAGCATAGTGACACCAGTGCAAACTAGCTGGAATCCTTGGTTTAAAGTCTCCCATGGTACATTGGGAGGACAACCTAACAGTGATATGGTTCATGGCTAGGGTTTGGCCACCATGGGAGGAAGTTAAGATACCACAGCAGGGATACATTGAGATACATTGAGAAACTCCTTTGAACATCAACTTAAATCCTTTGTTGAAAGACAGGACTGTAAAATAAATACAGTATGTGTGTGGTGGGTACTAGTGGGGGGGGAGGGTGAATGAAGGGGATAAGGTGAGGGTATATGGTTGAGAGAACAAAGAAACCTCTTGCAATTGCTTTAAGTGGGGTGGGGATGGGGATAGGGATCCCCTTAGTAATTGTACATTACTAAGGTACAATATAAAGCCATATAAAGTCTAGTCAGAATTGTCACTGTGAATCCCCCATAAAACAAATAAATCCTAATAAAAAAAAAGGAAAATATACCACCAGTTCTTGCCCAAGCTTGCCTAGTTTTTCCAACCAAAAGACGAAATGAAAGGAAACATTTCAGTTTTCAAAATTTTATTGAGATGTTGGGGAGAAGCAGCAGCCAACATATACATTCCTTATTTCGTCACGACTGGCATTTTACCCACTGTAGCGAGGCTCTTCTCTCGCTTTGATCTAACGTCAGGTCTCCTTGGCAGTCCCCCTTCTGTTCTTTTCTCATTACTGCCTGGTGTTATTTGAAGTCCACCAGGGCAGAGCCGGCTGGCGGGTCACAAGTGGGAGCGGTAATTGCGATTGGCTGTAGGGGAAAGACAGGTTTGCAACAGGAACCCCCTTTAGCACACACCCGTCAGTGCTCTTCCCACCCACACAGAAAATAATCCATGATGAGTTTTCAGGGTCCTGTGAGTGCTTCCTGTAGGAGAGGGTCTGGGGGAGCACCCAACCTCACTCACCGTCATCGCCCCGTTTTCTACTCTTCAGGCTGCCCTTTCGGTATTTTCTTTTGCTGCCACCTCTCTTGACACCCTTGTGAGGAGCTCGGTTCTTGCCCCTCCTCACGCCATGACTCTTCAATTTGCGGCTGGTCGACATTGTGATTTCTGCCAAAATGAGGGGCTTTGCAAGGCTGGGAGGCCGGGAGTCTGTGTATTTAAGGACTTAGCCATTGTGACAGCCAAGGGGGCGTGGCTTAGCAGCTGGGCGGGGCTCCCTTGTGATCTCATTAGCCTTTGATATACTTGGTGGAATAAGGTGGCCCCCTTCAAGGAGCAGCTGAAAGTGGCCTTCAGTTTTGAGTCTAAGGAAGGCTTTCCAGACGGGTGTTATTGAGCAACTAAATCCTGGCCTTCTGCTAGGCTAAGGCGGGATGGTAGAAGTGACGTTAAAAATGTGTGTCCTGCCTGTAGGATATTTAAAAATCTTTGAGTGTGTTATATATGCATGTGTATTTAAGTCTCGCAGCATCTGTAGGTAACAAATGTATTTCTGTAAGCACTTGACTCAAGGAGATCCAAAATACAAATTTTCCTCCTCAAGGTTTCTGAATCTTGGCACTTGATACCGTGGGCTGGGTAAGTTTTGTGGGTTGTCTTGGTATCGAAGGATGTTTGGCAATAACCCTGGCTTCTACCCTCTAGATACCGATAGAAACCCCACAAATGTGACACCCCAAAGTTTTTCTAAACATTGCTACCTGTACTTTTGGGAAGAAGAAGTAGGGGGCAAAATCACCATGATTGAGAACCATCGGCCTAATAATAACTTTTTAAAAATTCAGTCACATTTATTGCTCACATAGATCCTGCGTGTATGGAACTTTCAACCTAGAGGGGAGAAGGACATTAAGTATCTACACAAATCAATGAATGACTTCTTTGGAGTCACTTTGCCTGTGGAGATCAGGGGAACTTTCCAAATAGTGCAGGTCGAAGGGAGAGACACAGACCAAACCATCCTCAAGTGCATCAGGAAGCCTTAAAAATGTTAAGAGGATGACATGATGCGATTAGAGGCTGCTAGGTGAGTGATGGATTGAATAGGGGAGATGAGTGAATAAAGGAAGGAGCTATGTTCCGTAGCAGTGACTCAGGAGAGAGGAGGATTTGATAGTGGCTTAGACATGGGACAGAGAGGATGCTGACTGAGATATAGAGAGGTAGACAGGGGCTAGGTTTTGGTGATGGATTGGATGTGGGAGGTGACAGCAGATGGCATCAAGAATGTGGCTTTTGATTCTGTACAGTGTAGCTAGGTGGATGCTTGTGGCACTTGCTGGGATAAGACCAGGCAATGATGACTATGCAATTGGTTTAAGACATATTGTATTGAGCTTGAAGTGCTTTTGAGATTTCCAAATGGAAGTACTGAATGATGATTGTTGGGTATATGGATCAGGCAGACTTGTACCCCAACCTTTTCTTCTTTTTCCTTTATATCTCATATTAACTCCTTTGAAACAAATTCAGTAAAACTTGAGAGCTAGTTCCTCTTTTTGTCCCTCTTTCTCCACTGCTATTATCCTAATTCAAGAACCAAGTGTCATGTACAGAAGGTTCTTGGCAAAAATTTGGTTGAATAGAAGAATAGTTTAAGCTCTACTCCCTATATGTCTGATGTCTATAGACAAGGTGACAAACCATGTTTTGAATTCCAGATTCCTTGAATGGACACCATAAAAAGTTCTTCCTGTTTCCAGGCAGGTCTCTAGAGTCTTCTTGTTCATGGCTTTTATTCACTTAAAGACAGAGGAGCTCTATAAAACAGGCTGTTGCCTTCCCTCTTTGTATCTCAGGAGCTCCTCTGCCTATTTTAGTCTAGTTTTTCCTCATACAAGTGAGCTCTAGAACATGAATCTCCACAAAAGCAGGAATTTAGCAATCATGTTCACAGAATAAGATCTCAAATAAGTCTTTGTGGAATGTATCTGTTGAATAAATGAAAAGTCCTTCTTTTATCTTTTTAACTATCCTATTCCATTTTGCCCCACAGCTCCAAAGAAGACTTTCCTTACTCACCAAATTTTCATTGTGTTTGAAATTTACTAAGACCACTGTACCTATAATATTGTTCTTCAAGTCTAGGCAAATCATCTCTAATTGTGTGAAACCCTGTTTGGTGCCTGGATTGTGATGTTTTGTGTAGTAAACTGGTCTCAACAGGAGGTGGTGTATCTTGTTCTGATCCTGACTTCTCTGGACTTTGATTTACTTGATTTGGAAATAAGCAGGTTGGACTAGGTGATCTCTGAGATGAACTGGCTTTGGCAGTGGCTTCCTTGTAGTTAAGGATGGATTCTTTGTTTCTACTGCTTTTCCCACAGGAGTCAGCATGGTCCACATAGTAAACATTCATTCTAACTGCTTTGGTATATTATGGGGGGCAGATAGTCCAATACAACCAAAGTGACTGTACAAGTGGGAGCACTTTTAGGCAGGGGAGAGAGGAAATGACATTGTCTCCATTGCCTTCCTTTGTGTCCTGTGCTCACCTCTGATGACCTGACTCTGCTGGCTAAAACATTTCAGAGGAACTGTCCTTTTGGTTTGAGAGGTATTTTCTGTATGATTCCAGAGACTGGACACTCTTTTTCTCCCCTGTGCCTCCCACTCCCAAAAGACCTTCTCTGCCAAGGAGAAGTTGAGGTCACAGGGAAGGAGGCAGCCAGACTTGAGAGCTGATGAAGAAACAAACAAACAAACAAAAAGGTCCCCTTTGCTCAGTGGAGGGGCAGTCCTGGTTGCAGACACCCATGCTGAGAAACCTGAGCTGCAGAAAGCCCCATGTGGGGAGGCAATTCACAGGCCAGGAGAAGGTGGGGCTGGGGGAGTGTTTGGGTTGGCTTTTGTATTGGACCTCCTGGGGTGAGGACTGAGTAGGATTGAGTTTGGCCACTTCTCCCTGTTCTGTTTCTCTTTCCATTTCTGCCCCAGTGTTGCCTGAGCCAATTGCAATTTAGATGGAGCAAAATGAGCTCACTCCTGACCCTTTGCAGACCCAGAGTGAGGGCTTCTTTTGAGAGCCATCTGTTAGCCCAGTCTGACCATTGTCTCCTCACCTTTTCTTCTGCTAACTTTTTTTTTTTTTTTTTTGGAATGTAGAAACAAGCATAGAAAGGACTCTTGAGCTACTTCAAATAAGCCAGCAGAGGAAGAGCAGAGATAGCCCAGTAAATCTGTTTAATCCACATCTTGGCTTACCCAGTGAAACTCAGCTTTCCTTTTTTTGATTCTTTTTGTTTAATTTTATTTATGATTGATGAAAATAAATGGATATTTTCTGATAATTATTGGTACACTGAGAGACTGAATTCCTGTTCTTTGTAGAAGAGGAGCTACCAGCTCCTTTTTTCTTCAAGCTGAGTGTTGTCTTGCTGGACACAGGTGGGTGGATTGTATGGTATCTTTACTTCCTAGGAGGACAGTCAAGGTTGCACTTCAAGGAGGGGCTTAGAGGCCTGTTCTCCAACTGGTCTTGTTCTTAGTTTAGGAAGGGCAGGCCAGGGTGTTACTGTTCTGGAACTCAGACCTCTGGTTGGATCCCATCTCACCTCTCTGACTCAAATTCACTCCATTAATTTTCCTTGGGTGTCCAATAGATGGTCTCATAAGGGGTTGGATCTGCCCAGCAAGCTGGGACTTGGAGTTTATTTAGAAGGAGCATGGAAAAGTTGCTGACAGCCCTTACACATGCTCATGACTCAGTCTGAATCCCTCTCTGAAATCTAAGTCTCTCCAGATGTTGACCTCAGCTGGGGAGTGGGGACCTTCTACCCTGTTCTCATGTACACTCTGTCTTCTGTACTGTTCTTGTTGCTGCTGTTGTTAAAACAGGCAGAGGGAGTTGGGACAAGCTAGAGAAGGTGAAAGGTGAGTTGGGTCAAGGCCGAGGAAGGTGCCTCATCCAGAGCAGACTTGTCTGAGCCCAGAACATATCTGGTATCTTCAGTAGGGAATCAAGAGAGGCCAGAGACCTGGGCCAAGGAGTGGTTTTTCAGAGAAAAAGGAAGGAGAGACCAAAACTCCATTTCTTTCCCATACACAATTGGAAAAGGCTGGGGGCCCCTTGGTTCTATGGATGGTCTGGGTTCTGCCTGATGATTTATTGGTGTTCTTTCCTGGTTTTCTGCCAGAATCCTCTCTCATCCTTTCTATGGCATTCCCAAATTGTCTTTCTATAAACAACTGTTTTTCAGGAGCAGAAATATTAGGCTACTGAAAGGTGAGAGATTCATCCTTTGGAGAGCACAGGCTTGTCTAAGGGACTGCACCAAGGCAGTGGAAGAGCCAGAGATGGGCCCAGGGTTTCTGGATCCCAAACCAAGACTGCTCAGTGCTGCATGTTACCTTCCCTACTTGACTTAAAAATATATCTGGCTTTGACTCTCCACTTTGCCTTTTCTCTCATACATGTAGTGTTAGGAACACAGTGAATGAATCTAACATTGAAGGGAGAAGAACTGGATAGTGTATGCTTAGAAGCAGGTTGTAGACTTGGAGGTCCTCTGGAAAAATTATAGCTCTTATTTTGAGATATTATAAACTTTCATTTCCATTTAATTATTTTTGGAGTTCTAAAAAAATAGTTTACTATTTTCATCCCTTTTGCCTTCTTAAGTCTTTAACAGTAAGGCCTCATGGTATGGTGCTACACCGAGAAAATCCAAATTTTATGTTTTACAAAGGTTCTTCTGCCCCCACAACCTTCATCCCCATCTATAACATAACAAAGAATGTGTCTCTTCCCAGAAGACACTGGGACTTCAGTTCCTTCAGCTAAAGGCAAAAGCATGGCTGCATACTAGGGTGTTAGAAAGGGGTGTTAAAATAGGAAAATATCACATGTGTTAAATCATTTGGCATCATGTGGTCTTTAGGAGAATGTGTTTGAATCCATTTACCAATTGGAATAAGGAAATGAGCTGGAGGTTTGCTAGAGAACAATTTCATAATAATTAGGGCTGGGATGAAGGATAACTTGGATAAAGTCTTAAATTACAGGTAAAGTTGGATCCCATGTCAGGACTTCCTCATCCTCAGTCCATCTTCTTGGCACTGTGCCATGATGCCTCATAGTTGAAATTTCTTTTCTTTTTCCAGTGTATTTTTTCTGTTT